GAGGTGGGGAGGGGCTTTTCAGGGAGGCCTTCCTGGAAGGGTTTCGATGAGGAGATGGGAAGGTACTCTGAACAGAAGGAATGACACCAGCAACACATTGGAGGAGGAACTGGTTGGCAAAACAGGGAGTTTATCAAAACACCACATTGTACCCTATACATATGTGTAGTTATGATCTGACAATTAAAAATAAAACAACCAGGGGAGGTTGTGGCAGTCCTGAGGCTTAGCAAACAGAGAGACAGACACATCTAAAACATGGACGTGATTCCGGAAGGAAAGGCTCAGGACGATCCAAGAAGGCCCTGACGGCCGTGCTAAGGTTGGTCTTTATTCTCTAGGCCAAGGACAGCCATTGAAAGTCTATGAGCAGGACAGGCGCAGGGTTATTAGTCGTCATAGATCTTCACTGAGCACCTACTAAGCGCCAGGTACTGCTCCTTGTACTGGAGTCGCTGCACTTAAAGTCCCACTGCCACAGAGCTTATGGGCTCATAACTGTGACTGTGGCAGAGCTTGTTTACAGTGTGCTGTATGCTTGTCATTTAGTCTTCACAGCATTCTCATGAGGTTATTACTGTTACTACCTCCTTTTTTCAGAGGGGGAAACTGAGACACGGGGCATGAGGTAACATACCTGTGGCCACAGAACTACCAAGAGATACCACAGGACTTGAACTCAAGCCCTCTGGACCAGATTCCTTGCTCTAACCCGTGAAGCTTCTCTGATCACATCCCTTTTGTCCCCAGGACCTCAGGCTGACTCCCAGGCTCCTCCAGGGTGGCCCCATGTTGTGCCTCCATGGGCATGGGCCTGCTCAGTCTGGCAACGTGACCCAGAGAAGGTGTGGCTGGGAGAGGCCCAGACAAGAATAGTGGAGGGTCGTGTGCCATGGACCAGCCCAGCTGGGATCTGGGAGGGGGCAGCACCCCCTGTTACCCTTTTTGCTCTATGCCGCCCAGCAGATGGCACCAAGAAGTGGGCAGGACTGGGACATTCTCCCATTTCACAGATGGGGCATCTGGCACTGCCAGGGGTCCAGGGCCACCATTTCAAGGGGAACTGACTCAGCTCCCCAACCTGCACCCTGCGGAGAGCAAGAGGGAAGCAGAATCTTTCAGGGATTCTTGGGGTGGGGCCTCTCCCAGCCCTGGGCCCCCAGTGTGGCCCTGGGACTTATTAATGTGAGGGGAAAATTAGGTCCTTCAGGGTCTTGGTGGGATTGACATTTGAAGCAGACCACACCTGAGCAGGCACAGCTGCTTAGTAACCCCCAAAACACCACCTGTGAGGACAGCAGAGCCTTTTGCACAGGGAAGATTTTGGCTGGCAGCTCTGGGGCCACTACAGAGGGGCAGGTCGATTGATGGGATGAAGACATCCAGCTCCACAATCAGGACACGAGAGACCAAGTTTCAAGTGACTGATTGGGCAGTAAAAAGAGCAGAAGAGGGAAAGCAGGACAACCTCAGAGTTAGCGCAAGAAGCCCAAAGTGGAAGGTCAAGAGCCAGAGCTCAAGCCTGAGCTCAAGACCCTTCCCTGCCTCTTCCCAGCTGTGTGACCATGAACTAGTCACGACCTCCCTGTATTTGTCATCTACTCTGTACAATGGGCATAATGACGGCATCCTCCTCCTCTGGTTCTTTGAGAATCATGAGCAAATAAAGCAGGGAGCTAGCATGGTGCTGCACGCTGTCAACACTAGTTGCTGTTACATCCACTGAGCGCCTCCTGCATTTGGTTTCACCACGTCTTCCCATTTATTCTCTGGAGATAATTGTGAGTATGGCATCTGGTACATTGTTTGGTACACAGTAGGTGCTCCGTAATGTGGCTCTTAATGAGAATGAGAATGATCATTGTCTCAGCAGCCCTTCAAGGTGGGTGTGATACTCCATCTTTCAAATGAGGCTGCTTCGGGGAGCAGGAGGTACTGTGAGCAGGGGTGGGTAGGGCATCTACTGGGCCGTCATGACTGGCCGAGCCTCCCCAGGTGGGAGATGGAAAATGAGGGCCTTGTAGCAGAAGCCAGGTCTGGGCAGAGAGGGCTGTCAGTCAGGATCAGCTAGGTTATTGCAGTGACCACCGTAAAGTCTCAGCGGCTTATAACACTAGAGGATAATTTCTCTCTCCCGCTGTATGCCGATGGCAGTCCAGTCATATGGGGCTCTGTGTCTTCCTCACTCTTTTGACTTAGGTTGACAGAAGAGATACTGTCTTATATGTTGCTGGTTGCTGTAGTAGATTGTTAAAGAGCTCCAGCCATCAGCCTAGGGTGGCTATTTACATTTAAATGAATGAAGTTTAAGTAAAACTAAAAATTCAGGACCAGCACAGTGGTTCATGCCTATAATCCCAGCACTTAGGAAGGCTGAGGTGCAAGGATGCTTGAGGCCAGGAGTTGGAGACCAGCCTAGGCAGCATAGCAAGACCTTGTCTCTACAAAAATAGAAAAAATAAAATAAACTAGCCGGGCATGGTGGTGTGCACATGTAGCCCAGCTACTCAGAAGGCTAAGGCCAGAGGATCACCTGAGCCCAGGAGGTTGAGGCTGTGGTGAGCCGTTGATCATGCCACTGCACTCCAGCCTGAGCGACAGAGTTCAGACCCCGACTCAAAAAAAAAAAATTCAGTTCCTCAGTCATACTGGCCACATCCCAGGTGCTCACCCGCTGCATGTGGCTAGTGGCTGGTGTCCTAGAGAACGCAGATAGAAGACACTTCCGCCATCACAGAACATTCTACTGTGCAGTGACCTTCTAGAGAGTCTCGCACTAAAAGCCAATGCTCCAGCCTATCAGGAACACACAGGCTTCTTTTCAAAACTCACATAGGACCAGGAGGTACATTCCTGCTATGTGCCACAAAGTGGGGAGAACCAGAAATATTGAGGAACAGATGATGACCACCACAGAGGGACATGGGTCAGAGATCAGGAGGGGGGGGGATCCAGGTGGACAGGTAGAGAAAGGAGAACTTGGGAGACCAGCCGAGGCAGGCAGAGGCTCTTGGGGACCTTCTTGGGAAGCTTCCCAACCCCTGGTCTCACCCCTGCCCAGAAGAAATGCCTTAAGGAATGTGGTGGCTACCTTACCTGACAGAGGAGAAGGGGTTAGGGAGACAGCAGGAGGGATTCAGGTGAGACTTACACATGAACCCTTCCTTGGGTCAGGAACCCTGCAAAGGTGAGGGTGGTAGGAGTCTCCTGGGTAGAGCACCGCACAAGGCCGCTGATGTGTGCCGTGAGGTTGGCACTGTCCCGTTTTGAGGCTGGGGCATGACCAAGATGAACTCTAAAGGACCCTGCTCCATTGGAGAATTGGCCCAGAAACCAGGCCTGGCCCTCCCTCCGCCTTTCCTGTTCACCTCAGCTAAATAGATCAGAAGGAAAAAGTCTGTTTGATTTTAATCTCGACGCAGGACACTGGAGATTACATTTTCCACGGAAAATGTCAGCCGTTGCCTAAAATAGGACTTTGGAGAAAATGCTAGAAAGAGTATTTTTAGGTTATATGTTTCCCTCCTGGATTCCTGCATCTAATGGGCTGCTTGATACTTCCCATGGTTCAGCTGCCAGGTGCAGAACCCAAGCCTTCCAGACAGGTGGCCCAGGGAGAGGGCTCCCATGGGAAAAACAGGTGGACTGCTGCAAGGACCTGCTTCTGGTGTCCGGAGGAAGGAGGAGGAAGAGAGCCAGCCAGGGGCGGGCCTCTGAGTTGCAGGGTTAGCAAGCTTCCCCCAGGCGATGCGGCTGCTGCTGTGCTGGAGACTGTCCTTTGAGCGGCAAGGGGCAGAAGAGGCAGGGCTCAGTTAGACCGCAGCCTGGGAAGGGGGTCTATTCAAGCCCACCCTACAGGGCCTATCACAGCCTCCTCGCAGTCTCACACAGACACATTCGCTGATTCTCAGTCCCACGTCTGAGACAGGCAGCAACTCCCACCTTGCCTCCCCTTTAGGCTGTTGGGAGAATTCGAAGACTGCAGGGAGCCAGCTCTGCCAGGTGCAAAGGGTGCTTCGGGAAGTGTAGGAGATTAAAAATGGGTAGACACTGTTGGTGTTTGGATATAGCATCCTTCAAGATGTAGTGTGGGACTGGGACTGGGCAGGTGGGGTGGGGCTAGGAGGGAACTGTGCCATGGAGGGTTCCTCACTGCCTGGATTGCCAGCCTCTGGGGGTCTTGTCCTGGGGAAGTCCCCTGGTGTGGTGGCTCAGAACTGCAGACCTTGTCCAGGTGATCCCAGAGGAGCAGGGATGTCAGAGGCTGGATGAACAGAGGGAACCTGAGTCAATGTTCTCAGATTGAGGGAAGGGCTACTTGCTGTGGGGTGAGTGACATTAAACAGGACTGGCAGCCATCTGAGGAAGAGCAGCATAGGGGAGCCGGGAGAACTGCCGACTGTGATCTCTGGCGAGGATAGGAGGGTTTCTCTTTTCCAGGCCTCAGTTTCCCCTCTGTGAAATGGGGGAGGGGCTGTTCTTTTTTATTTTTAAGTTGAGGTCTCACTCTCGCCTAGGATGATCATGGCTCATTGCAGCCTTGACCTTGTGGGCTCGGGCGATCCTTCCATCTCAGCCCCCCTGAGTAGCTGGTCCACCACCAGTGCGCAGCTAACTTTTTTGATTTTTGGTGGGGATGAGGTCTTGCTGTGTTGCCGGGCTGGTCTCAAACTCCTGGGCTCAAGCAATCCTCCCACCTTGGCCTCCCAAAGTTCTGGGATTACAGACATGAGCCAACTCATCCAGCCTGGTTCTGTTCTTATCCCAAGATGAGCCGAGCCACCCTAGGCCTTCCTAAACCTGAGTGGTGCGGAGATGGAGGAGTGGAAGCACTTGGACTCAAACCATCCATTATGGGACCTTAGAAGGCCCTGGGGATACTTCCAGACCATGGTGGGGGCCTGGGTGGGCACAGTGGGGAGGGACTTCCTAGACTCCGCATAACCCATCATTTCTTTTCTCCTCATGGCTCCTGTGGCTGCCTGGATCCTGCAGAGCTCCCGACTGAGGAAGGTGAGACTTGCTCCAGGGGGGGCTGCCAGGCCACAGGACGACATTCTTGGGTCATCACCGTCAGGTTGTGACTTCCTCCTGCCCAGAGTGAGGCCTTGTTGAGCCCCCGGCATTGCCCACCTGAGCCTTTTGGAGCCTTGGGCTCTCTCTCTCTGAGCTGCAGGGAGAGAATGGGCCAGGAGGTATCTAGGCCTACCCAGCCCTGAATGGGGAGGGTCTGTGGGTCAGGGGCTCAGCCTCATGCAGTGCTCCTGTTCCCAGGGAAGTCCCTGTGGGAGCTGGTGCTGGAGCAGTTTGAGGACCTCCTGGTGCGCATCCTGCTGCTGGCTGCCCTGGTCTCCTTCGTAAGTTGGGCCCTGCCTGCCATCCCGTGATACTGGGTAGCTCTGGAGGGAGAGCTAGTCCTGGGCAGTGCTCAGAGGCCGAAGCTCAGGCCACAGGGCTGTCCTCTCAGTTGTGGACATCCCTGGATCTGCTTCCTAGCCTTCCCTAGTCCTGCCCACCTCCTACCTGCTCAGTCTTCAGCTCTTCTTGCCTGAACCCTCTCAGGCTCCACACTGGGCTCCCGGCTCCCACCTGACCCTCCATTCCATCTTATCCCATGGCTGTCAGAGTGAGCTTTCCAAATCACAATCCCGACTCCACCCTACCCTGTCTTAGCCTTGGGTTTCTCTACCTCAGCACTGTTGATAGTTTGGACCAGATGATTATCTTTTGGGGTGGGAAGGGGAAGCTGCCCTATCATTGTGGGATGTTTAGCAGCATCCCTGGACTCTCTACCTACCAGATGCCTTTGGCACCTCCCAGGTCTGACCATGAAAAATGTCTTCAGACTTTGCCAGATGTACCCAGGGGGCCACATTACCCCCGCTTGAATGCTGCTGCCATAGCCCCTTTTGTGGCTCCTAGTGCTCCTCAGATGGACTTTGGGGCATGAGCCTCATGCAGCCTTCCCTTGGCTGCTGCTTCCCTTTGCTCTTTCCTGCTTCCTGCTGCCCACACTCCTCCAAACTCCTCCTGGTTATGCGGGACCATGGGGCCAGGGAGGAGAGGTGGCAAGGGAGATGTGGTTGTCATCGATGGCTGAGCAGCAGAGACCCAAGGGTAATGTGGAACTGGAAACAACCACCCTGCGGGTGTACGTGATTATTATTCCAGCCCTACTCCCAGCAGGGCCTGGGGAGGAGACTTTATCTTGGTGGCCTGGAGGGCAGAGCAACAGGCCCTGGGTGGGCAGTCTTTTCCCTTCCAGTCAGCAGGGGCCCAGTGTTGTGTCCCACTGTCCTCTGTGAAAACCACGGACTTTTGCAAAACACTCTTCACACTGATGCCCCAATGACTGAGCTGAAAGGGTACTTGTACCTCTTCAATCACAGACACACTGAGACCCACAGAGGGGGAATGACAAGTATCCCCTTGGTCCAAGAGGTAGAAACGGGACTTGAACTGAATCTCCGGTCTCCCTGGCATAGGCTCTGTGGTTGGAGAGTTGCTCCTCTGACCAGAGGACCTCAGACGTGTGCACTGGAATCACCTAGCTTGTGGAAACACAGATTGCATGGCCTCACTCCAGAGTTTCCCGCTCAGGAGGTCTGCGGTGGGCTCTGAGAGCTGTATTTCTAACAAGTTCCTAGGAGCTGCTGCTGCTGGGCTCAGAACCCCACTTTGAGAAGCCCTGCTCTAGTCCCAGGGCAGGGGTCCCAGCTGGCAGGGGTACCACTGCCCCACACTCTGGAAGGATGGCCTGGGTGGGACGAAGGCTGTGGCATTGCTAAGGTGGGCGTAGGCATCCTACACCAAGGCCTCCTCAGAGAGTAGCTCTCGCCAAGCTCAGGGCAACCCAGGGTTATGAGGGAGTAGACGGGAGATCCGGGGTGCAAAGGAATGGGGGGCAGATCTTGGCCCACAGCATGGCACAGCTTACCAACTCTGATCCCGCAGGTTCTGGCCTGGTTCGAGGAGGGTGAGGAGACCACAACCGCCTTTGTGGAGCCCCTGGTCATCATGCTCATCCTTGTGGCCAACGCGATCGTGGGCGTGTGGCAGGTGGGGTGCAATGGGGGTGGGACTGGACCCAGGGTCTCCCTGCCACTAGGTGTGCCCCTCATCTGGTACTGGAGCCCTACAGTCCTGCTTCCAGCTTCACCCTAGGCCCCAAGGGTGTCACTGTGAGCAGGTGGCCTGCTGGGAGCAGCAGGAACAGACCGCTTGCCTGCCTTCCGTCCTGCAGGAACGCAACGCGGAGAGTGCCATCGAGGCCTTGAAGGAGTATGAACCCGAGATGGGCAAGGTGATCCGCTCGGACCGCAAGGGTGTGCAGAGGATCCGCGCCCGGGACATTGTCCCAGGGGATATTGTAGAAGTGGCAGGTATGCAGTGGCCTCCTTTGATTATGTGATGCTGGGGAGCCCCACCCCTCTCTGTGTCTCCATGTTTCTGGCTGGATATGCAGAGAGGTGGCTGTCGGATCCCTCCAAAGCTCTTTGACCACAACCCTGTTGGACAGATGAAACTGGACCAGAGGAACAGGGGTCCACCTGAGGGCTCACAGCTCAGGCACCTGCCTTCTGCCCACCCCCTGCCTTGGTTCCTGGGAGCCCTCCTGGTTTTTCCTAGGGTGTGGTGCCCAAAGCCACCCTCAGCCAAGCCCTTCTTCCTGCACAGTGGGGGACAAAGTGCCAGCCGACCTTCGCCTCATTGAGATCAAGTCCACCACACTAAGAGTGGACCAGTCTATCCTGACAGGTGAGGCCCAGAGTCTGGGGTCCAGCGGGGACGGGGCCAGGGAATGGGCATAGTCTTTGGGTGGGGCTTTTCATACCTGATTCCATGACCAGGTGAATCCGTGTCAGTGACCAAGCACACAGAGGCCATCCCAGATCCCAGAGCTGTGAACCAGGATAAGAAGAATATGCTGTTTTCTGTAAGTCCCTGGGATGTCTGGGGCCTTTGCCCAGATAGTGATGGTAAAAATAACGTTGAGATTAAACAGTTAAAGTCCTATTGGAAAGAACCTCATCAATTATTAGCAACACATGCATATTTAAAGCAATAATAATAGCTTGTGCTTCCTGAGGGCTGTGTGCCCAGCACTGTCCTGAGCTCTTTATACATATGAATTTATTTAATTCTCACAACAAACCTTTGAATCAAGTACTCTTGTTATCTGTATTTTCCAGCAAGGAAACAAGTACAGAGAGGTTAAGTAAGTTGCCCAAGGTCACACAGCCAGTGAGTAGCAGAGCTGAGACATGAACTCAGACATCCTTTCTTCAGAGCTTTTCTTCTTACCTGTTGAGATACCCTGCCTTAACCTGGAGAGGAGCAGAGCTTGCCTATAATCACACAACAGAAAACCCTCTAGAGCAGGAGTCCCCAACACCTGGGCTTTGGACAGGCTTTGGTCTGTGGCCTGTTAGGAACCTGGCCACACAGTGAGCAAGTGATCAAAGTTTCCTCTGTATTTACAATTGCTCCCCATCACTCACATTACTGCCTGAGTTCCAGCAGTGGCGGCATTAGATTCTCATAGGAGCATGAACCCTATTGTGAACTGCACATGTGAGGGATCTAGGCTGCCTGCTCCTTATGAGAATCTAATGCCTGATGATCTGAGGTGGGGCTGAGGCGGTGATGCCAATGTTGAGGAATGGCTGCAAATACAGGTTAACATTAGCAGTGAGGTTTGATTGCACAGAGATCTTGATACACCAATTGCTCGCAGACTCGTATCAAAACCCTATCAGTGAGTGGCAAGTGAGTTGACGTACTTCAGTTGTATAGCTGCATCTGGTGGCAGGCTTTAAGTCAGAATCTGGCACTTATTTTAGTCTGCACATGGCCTGCCCATTATTTTATCACTTCCATCTGCACCTCTTTTTTTTTTTATGGTGAGTTGTGTAATTATTTCTTTTTATTTATTTATTTATTTATTTATTTATTTATTTATTTATTTATTTATTTTGAGTTGGAGTCTCACTCTTGTTTTTGATTTATTGTAGAGATGAGGTCTCCTCAAGTTGCCCAGGCTGGTCCTGAACCCTTGAACTCAGGCAGTCCTCTCACCTCGGCCTCCCAAAGTGCTGAGATTACAGACTTGAGCCACCATGCCTGGCTCATTATATTTTTCAATGTAATAATAATAGAAATAAAGTGCACAATAAATATTATGTGCTTGAATCATCCCCAAACCACTGCCCTCTTCCCAGTCTGTGGAAAAGTTGTCTTCCATGAAACCGGTCCCCAATGCCAAAAAGATTACAGACTGCTGCTCTAGAGGGAAGAGGGTTGTAAAACTGGTGGACAATGACGGGAACAGTCGTTTCCCTCAGAAGGGAAAACTGACCCACAAGACATGACACCAGGTCCTCCTGGCTCTTCTCATGGAGAACAACGGGTTCAGCTTTGGTGGGAAGGACCTGCCCCTCTGAACTCAGAGAGTTAGCAAGTGTTACTTGAAGCTGTCCAGCAACAGCCTGAAGCCAGCATGGAGTGTTTGGGACCACAGGGGAGGGTCAGGCCAGTTGGACAGTGGTCTGGGGCACCAAATTATAAGGCGCAAAACAACCTCCTTGGAAGTGAAGAGAAATGGAGAAGGTGATATTCACCTGGAGCCCTCCTTGAGGAGAGCAGCCTGCCTAGTTGTGTAGAAGCCTGGGACAGGTGGCGGAGGCTGGGGAGGGAGTCTCTGGGAGGCATGCTCTAGTGTCACAGCTGTCACTAAGACACTTCCTGAGGAGGGTGGTCTGGCTAACTCCTGCACTTAGGGGCCAGAGCTGCATTGCTCAGGACAGAAAAGAGGCCAGGGCTGACACCAGCAGCTGTCTTCTCACCAGCATCAACAATGCATCCATTTGAAGGGGCACCGGGTTATTAGCCTCCTGAGCAACTCTGTCTTGGGCCTCTGTTGGACCATTTTATAAAGAGGCTGTCCCTATGCCAGGACTTGAGAGTTTTGCTGGGACTTTGGAAATGGATGAGCTGAGGCTCAGGTTTTCTGGATATTTCAGTAAATATTTTATTTTATTTTTTTGAGTTGGAGTCTCACTCTGCTGCCCAGGCTGGAATGCAGAGGCACACTCATGGCCACTGCAGCCTTGGCCTGCTGGGCTTAGGCAATCCTTCCACCCCAGCCTTCCAAGTAGCTGGAACTACAGGTATGTGTCACCACACCCAGCCAATTTTTTAAAAATTTATTATAGAGATGAGATCTCACCAAGTTACCCAGACTGGTCTCGAACCCCTGGACTCAGACAATCCTCTCATCTCTGTCCCTCAAAGTGCTGAGATTATAGGTGTGAGCCACCACACCTGGCCTCTTCAGTAAATATTAAGGACTGTTTACCTGAGATCATAGTCAGTTCCACTGCTGTGTGGCTATAGTGGTTGTTTACGAATCACATTTTTTTTTTTTTGAGTTGGAGTCTCACTCTGTCTTCCAGACTGGAGTGCAGTGGCATGCTCCCGGTCACCGCAGCCTCGACCTGCTGGGCTCCGGCGATCCTTCCACCTCAGCTTTCCAAGTAACCGGAACTACAGGCACGTGCTACCACGCACGGCTAATTTTTTTGATTTTTTATTGTAGAGATGAAGTCTCGTCAAGTTGCCCGAGTGGGTCTCGAACCCGGTGCTCAGGCAATCCACTCGCCTCGGCCTCCCAAAGTGCTGGGATTACAGGCTGAACCACCGAGCCTGGCCAGTGAATCACATTTTGATGGTTTGATGGGTTGATGCCTGCAGTGTACTGGTTGATCATATTGTCAGTACTGACCCCTGTACCGGGCCCTGTGCTGGGCACTGGGGAAATCCCTGCCTTTCTAGAGCTTGCACCATCATGGGAAGGCGGCAGCGACCCAGTAAGTACATAGCTACATAAGTCTGAAAGCACCAGAGACATGGAGAAAAAGAAAGCCAGGGAGAAGAAAATGAGCCCTACTCCAGCTGGGAGGAGTGAGGGTCCTGGGCCCTGGCCAGGTGCTGAGCAGCTCTTCCCTTGTCCTCCGCTTGGCCAGGGCACCAATATTGCATCTGGCAAGGCAGTGGGTGTTGCAGTGGCCACGGGCCTGCACACGGAGCTGGGCAAGATCCGGAACCAGATGGCGGCGGTGGAGCCTGAGCGGACGCCGCTGCAGCGCAAGCTGGACGAGTTTGGGCGGCAGCTGTCTCATGCCATCTCAGTGATCTGCGTGGCCGTGTGGGTCATTAACATTGGCCACTTTGCCGACCCGGCCCACGGCGGCTCCTGGCTGCGGGGTGCTGTCTACTACTTCAAGATTGCTGTGGCCCTGGCTGTGGCTGCCATCCCCGAGGGTCTCCCAGCTGTCATCACTACATGCCTAGCGCTGGGTACACGGCGCATGGCACGTAAGAATGCCATCGTGAGGAGTCTGCCTTCCGTGGAGACCCTGGGCTGCACCTCAGTTATCTGCTCTGACAAGACGGGCACGCTCACCACCAATCAGATGTCTGTCTGCCGGGTAAGTGGCTACAGCCAGTTTGGTGTTGCTATGTGATGCTGGGCAGGCCAGATTCCCTTTCTGGGTCACTCCCCAACCTTCTTTTGGCAAGGGATAGAGGAGAGAGCCTGTGTGCTGTCCCATGAGGGGAGTGGGTCCAGGTTTTCAGGGGGCAGAACAGACAATGGGCAGGCTGCTACAGCAGACAGTACATGTCACTGGGGCCTGTATGTTAGTGTGGGACCCTGGCCAGGTTGCTGACAGTCTGTGAACCTGAATCTCTTCAACTGAAGCCTGGGTGTGTGATCCCTGCCAGGTAATCATAAAGGACATGGGAGAAGCTCAGGTGCAGTTTGGCGTTGGAGCCAAGCTGGGCCTGAACCCAGGTTCTATCTGGCTCCATCATGACTGTGTAGTCGACGCCTGACACCAGATACACTGGCTCTGGTGACTTGGGAAGGGCCAGGGCAGGAATTATTCATCCCCTGGCACTCGATCCCACATCCTGAGCCCTCTGCCCACATGCTCCTGAGATTCTGGCTGAGACTCCAGCAGGCCCTTGGGGCAGAGAGCTTTTCCTGGCCCAGCAGGGAGCAGGTGGGAAGATGGTGAAGGCTTTGGGTTTTCCACCCTTCCCTGTTACCCATCACTCTTCTCCCCTGCTGCCCCCACAATCTGCCCCCTAGAACCCCAGGCTCTTGTATTCCAAGACCCTAAGACCCTATAAAAGCCCATCAGAGGCTGCTGTAGGGGAGAGCGCCAGCAAGCTTTATTGCTCTGCAGCCCCTGGCCTGCTGACATCCCTGGTGGGATTTTATTTGAATAGAGTGTTCCTTGAGTAAAATAAAGATTTGAAAGGTACAGTGTAGGGAAGTTGTAGAGGCCCTGTGTGCTAGATGCTGGATTGTGCTTGCTGGAGGACCCCATACCCAGGAGCAGAGAGAAGAGCAGGAAGGATGAAACATTTATGGAGCACCAACTGGGTGTGGGCCTGGCCATTTGCTGGAGAATGTACAGCAAGGCAGTTTCCAAGAAGCAAGAACTGTCCCCTTAGCAGAGCTGGCTGAACAGACAAGGAAGTGGGGTGTCCTGGGAGGGCTGAGCCCCTATCTCTGAGGTGCACAGGTAGGGGCTGGATGACCCAGCAGGCCCCGTGGGCAGGGGCTCACTCTCCAGGGACATCACCCTAAGAGCTGGATGTGGGTTTCCTCCCTTGAAGGCCAGAAACTCAACCCTTTGAAGGAAAAAAGAGGGGCAGCTGGACTCTGATCCCACTTCCTTCCCATGTTAGCAGTGGAGAAACGGGCCCAGGTGCTTGGCCAGGGGTCACACAGTGAGATGGGCAAGGACCTAGGCTTCCTGCTCAGCTCTGGGCACCCCCTCAAGCTGGCAGTTGCCCTCAGAGAATTAAAGAATGCACAAGCCAGAACTGGACACACCTGTGCAGAGCAGACGATTTCCATTCAGCTTGGACCTTGCTGTATTCTACTTCCTTCTGGTGGGGCGGGAAGGCCAGGCCAGTGGCTCTTGGTGGGGCAGGGGGCCCGCAGGATCAGGCTTTATTCAAACTGGCTGCCCGGGTAGGAAGGAGGAGGGAAGAGGGAAGAGGGAGGAGGGAGGAGGGAGGGACCCAGCCCGCCTGAACACTCCCTGCACTTCCCAGATGTTCGTGGTAGCCGAAGCCGAAGCGGACTCCTGCCGTTTGCACGAGTTCACCATCTCGGGTACCACGTATACCCCCGAGGGCGAAGTGTGAGTGCGGGCACCGGCGGCCCGGTGGGCGGGGCTATGCGAGGCAGCGCAGAGGTGTTCGCGGGGAGGCCTCCTGGGGGCGGGGCCAAGAGGCGGAGCCCTTCCTAAGGGCGGGGCCAAGACCCTTGTACTGACTGCCTGGCTCTGCAGGCGGCAGGGGGAGCAGCCCGTGCGCTGCGGGCAGTTCGACGGGCTGGTGGAGCTGGCCACCATCTGTGCCCTGTGCAATGACTCGGCGCTGGACTACAACGAGGTAAGCTCCCACTCCCTTCAAACCTTCCTAGTGTCCAGGCACTCACAGTGAGCTGGGCAAGGACCCAAGCTTCCTACCCTGCTCTGGGCTCCCTCAAGCTGACAGCTGCCCCTAGAGCATTGAAGAATTTGCCATAAATCCTTCAGGAATCCAGGGCTAATGGACAAGCCAGTACTGGACACTGTTCTTTGAGACTTTTCCCAGTCTCAAAGCCCCCAGGGTTGGTGGTTCTTGCCCCTTGGGAGTGCCACACCCCAGAAGCATGATCACCCCTGCCCACCCCCCACTGCCACCCTCTCTCTTGCTCAGACTGGCTTCAGAACTCTACCCCTGGGGTTCTAGGCTGCGGGGGGCTGTAGTGCAAGGGGCTGAAGGGCCAGGGATACCCCAGGGAAGGAATGTAGGAGAAGCACTGAGGTGTTTAAAGTAGAAGGTATAGCCTAAAAAAGGCCCACAGTCTATAAAAGCTAAATGTGATTTAGGCATCGAATGCCATTCATGTGGCTAGAGCAATGGGATGGAGTATCCAGGAGGATGTTACTGCCTAAAGGAAAGCCCTTGACCAGACCTGGTCAGCTCCCATGCCAAGCTGAGGGCAATAGAGAGCCCTCAGAACCGAAGGGTTTTGAGCAGGGGAGTGATCTAGTCAGATTTGCATGTACAGATCACCCAAACTTCTGTGTGGAGAACAGGCCAGAGAGGACAGTTCTAGAGCCAGGGAGCCCTGTGTGGTTGTCCAGACCAGAGAGATGCCGACTGAGCCCTGGCTGGTGCTTCGGGGAGAGGGGAAAAGGCACGCGTCAGAGAGACACAGGAGCCAAAAATCCTGTGACTTCATGACTGGTTAGGTGACAGAGAGAGGGAAGAGGTCAGAGTAGCTCCTGATTGCTGTACTGGCTTGGGCTGCCACTGGAGTGGCAAATATAGGGAGAGGAGAAGGTAGCCTGGGGGTCTCCAAGGAACAAGGGCAGCAATCAGACATGTGGGCTCGGGAGAGAGGTCTCGGCTGGTCTGGCCACTGGCAGTCATGGGCACATGAAAGGTAGTGGAGACAGGAGGCGCACAGGGCCTCAGAGAGACCAGGCAGGAACAGGCCCAGACAGAAGAGCCTGATGAGGGTGCTGAGGAGTGCACAGAAAGGTGGAGGGCAGGAAGGATATGTGACCATTGATGCCAGGGGCCAGGGGAGCTGAACATCAGTGTCAGACACCACCTTGAACTCAGGTCGGCTGGCTTGGGCTGAGAGGTGGCTCACAGGGCTGTGCAAAAGAGGTTACAAGGAGCTCCAGCCAAGGGAGCCCGAGGGTGCAAGTAGCAAGTGAGACAGGGGAGACTGGCTAGGGCCACATGCCCCTCACCCCCTATCCCCTGGGTCCTACCAGGCCAAAGGCGTGTATGAGAAGGTGGGAGAGGCCACGGAGACGGCTCTGACTTGCCTTGTGGAGAAAATGAACGTATTCGACACCGACCTGCAGGCCCTGTCCCAGGTGGAGCGAGCTGGAGCCTGCAACGCGGTGAGTGGCATGGAGGCTCAGGTCGTGGGCTCATGGCTGGGGCTTCTGGAGAGGAAGAGAGACGGGAGAGAGGCTCTGGTAGGAGGAATGACCCCAGACCCCTAGTAAGACTTGACTAGGAAGAAAAGAGCAGAAAAGACTATGTGAACAAGGGCTTGGATTTAGTGTGCACACAGTATGACTAGGAAATGACAACTAAGGGTGAGTACTGGAGAGGGAGGTAGAGGCCTTGAATGCCAGGGTCAGAGGAGTATAGATAGCAAGGGACTCTTCTTGAGGCCAGGCAGCTGGTGAGAAGAAAGGCAAGAGTTGCTGGCTCTGTCCCTCATGCCCTGAACTGCCTGGACCCCGCAGGTCATCAAGCAGCTGATGCGGAAGGAGTTCACCCTGGAGTTCTCCCGAGATCGGAAGTCCATGTCGGTGTACTGCACACCCACCCGCCCTGACCCTACTGGCCAGGGCAGCAAGATGTTTTTGAAGGTGGGGGCCTGTCTGGCCTGGGCCCCTGCATCCCCCGCATCCCTGGGGGACCTGGCCTCCAGTCCTCTGAAGCACCAGAGCCCTGCTACAAGAGACCAAGGGAGGTGTGAGGCCCACTAAGGTGTCCATGAATCCAGAGGGTGGGCAGCATGGGAAGTTGGGGGCCGGATCCAGGCTTGGTAGAGATGAGCTATGCCCAGGGGAACAAGGCCTTCCCCTGGCGATGGCTCCAGCTTTGGGTTGAGGGTCACTGTCTCCCCACATGACCTTGCGGCTCCTCTGTGGGCCTCAGTCTCCCTGAGACTGGTTGGTACTCACCCTTGGTGCTCCGTGTTTTGGAAACTGAGTCCCAGGAAGGGAAAGGAACCAGTTCCTGTCCAGCTCTCTATCAACAGCACCTCTTGTTGCTGCTTTCAAACCTGAAATAGGAAACAGCCCTAACTTCATCCTAATTGGAAATTTTAACCACTTTTGAAATGGAAGGCTTTCATGTTGGGAGCTGGGGCCACTTTGCAAAGTTAGTATTGGGGTGACCCTTTGGGAGCAGGGGAAGTCATTGAAGAAATATTCAGAGGCTATTCCAGGCCTGAAGTGATGTCCCAGGTGAGACCTGAGGCTACCAAGGAGCCTGTCACCTCAAGACCAACTTCCCAGGGCCACACCCTCAGCATGGTTCTAGTTCTGGTCTCCAGGCAGGGGTCAGCCACCTGCCCACTGCTGAAGGCCCTACAGAATTGAAATCCTGCTAGCACCAGGCAGGCAGGAAGGCAGGGCCTTCGGGGGGTGTCATTTCCAGACCCATCCCCAAAATGCTGCAGCTGTGGGCTGGTGGAGGAAGGATGCCACTTGATGGGTGGCTATGGCCCCCTCCCTCTTCCCTTCAGTGGGGTCCACTGCCTTCCCACTCTGAGCTTTCTTTTTTTAATTTATATTTTATTTTAAAGATGTGTGATACAATTCAGGACTAGGTATACAAGAACATCGTACAGGTAAAGTTTGGGCCTCCCTTTGGTCCCCACTTTGCCTGGTTTGAGATTAGGTACTCTCATTGATGTTGTGTCCCCCCACTTACCCCATCAGTATTCTGCTACTGCCAATCCCTTTCTTATAGTATTATGATAAATGTTCACGGTATGCTTATGAGTGAGAACATGTGGTACTCTGCTCTTTGTTTCTGTGCCAGATCACTGACTATAATAGACTCTAAATCCATCCAAATTGCTGCGAAGTCCATATTTTTGTCCTTTATGGCTGCATAATATTTCTTCGTGCATATGTACCACATTTTTAAAAATCCAGTCCAGTTTCGATAGGCAGCACAGTTGACTGGATTCTGGTCCACGCCTTGCTGTGCATACCCTTGGGTGGCCTTTTCCCATATCTTGGTCTCAGTCTCCTCAATGTGGGCAATACTAATGGAGTTGTTTCCTCTCTGCTCCCTCTACTACGCAGGGGGCCCCCGAGAGTGTGATTGAGCGCTGCAGCTCGGTCCGTGTAGGGAGCCGCACTGTACCCCTGACCACCACCTCCAGGGAGCAGATCCTGGCAAAGATCCGGGATTGGGGTTCGGGCTCAGACATGCTACGCTGCCTAGCACTGGCCACCCGGGATGTGCCCCCGAGAAAGGAGGATATGCAGTTGGATGACTCCAGCAAGTTTGTGCAGTATGAGGTATGTGCTGGGAGGTGGGTGTCTCCCCGGGGCAGCTGAACAGGTAGCAGGTCAAAGACGGATTCAGCTCCCAATTGCATCTTCCCCTTCCCTGCAGACTGACCTGACCTTCGTGGGCTGTGTGGGTATGCTGGACCCGCCAAGGCCTGAGGTGGCTGCCTGCATCACACGCTGCCACCAGGCAGGCATCCGCGTGGTCATGATCACAGGGGATAACAAAGGCACGGCCGTGGCCATCTGCCGCCGGCTGGGCATCTTTGAGGACGCAGAGGATGTGGTGGGCAAAGCCTACACCGGCCGCGAATTTGATGACCTCAGCCCCGAGCAGCAGCGCCACGCCTGCCGCACCGCTCGCTGCTTCGCCCGTGTGGAGCCTGCACACAAGTCCCGCATTGTGGAGAACCTGCAGTCCTTTAACGAGATCACTGCCATGGTGAGGCCACAGATGTCAACCTGGGGCTGTGGGAGCGAGTGGGGCCTTGGGGCACGGAAAAAGCCAGCAGTGCAACCCACCTCTGCCTCGCTCTTATCCTTTCTATTTTCTAACACTTTATGACAATGGATTTCAATTACAGAGAGAAATTGGAATAGTTTTACACTCAACACCTATATACCCATCAGCTAGATTCCATGACTAACATTTGATTATATTTGCTTTATCACAGACCTGTCCCCTGTCCATCCTATGTCCCTTCTTAATCCATCTTTCCTTAAAGCAAGTTGCAGACGTCAGTACACTTCACCTTTACTTACTTGAGAATGCATGTCCTTCACTAGACGGCAATTTTGTTTGTAGTTTTATTTTTCCTTTTTGAGGTAAAATTTGCATGCAGTGAAACAAACAAATCTTTTTTTTGGTCTCAATAGTGTAATTTTCTTTATTATCCTTTGTGGTGTTTATTTGGCTCTTCCATTCCTGTGTTTTGCCACCTTTTATTCTGCAACACCCTTATTAATTATTCCTTCAAATATTTCCTGTCTTCCATTTTCCCTCTCCTGAGACTCTTCTTTTTTTGGCGCTGGAAAAAGAAAAAAAACTTTAGGCAGTACAATGATTTTTGGCTACATGGATTCATTGTGTAGTGTTAATGAAGTCTGTGCTTGAAGTGTATCCCTCACCCCCATCTGTGCGCATTGTACCCGATGGATGACTTTTCATCCCTGCCTCCTTCCCATCCTCCCACTTCTGAGTCTCCAGTGCCCATTATGCCATTCTGTATGCCCCTGCAGTTCCTTAGTTTAGCTCCCACTTATAAGTGAGAACATGTGGGAAACACATAAATCTTAAGCGTGTCACTTGATGAGTTTAGTAACATGCACACACCTGTGTAACTCACACTCCTATTGAGATATGAAACATTGCCATCAACCTATGAAGTTCCCTTAATTTCTTCCCCATCTGTCCTTGGTCCCACCACAGGCAACTACTGTTTTGATGTTTTTTCCACCATATGCTAGTTTTACCATCATAGATTTTCATATGAAGGGAATCATACAATATATACTCTTTTGTGTCTGGCTTCTTTCTTTTGAGATTTGTTCACATTGTTGTGGGTATTAGTGGAGTATTGCTTTTCTGCCATTGAGTAGCATTCCACTATGAATATACCACAGTTTATTCATATACCACACCTTTGGATGGACATTTGGTTTGGGCTCAGTTTTCATTCTGTTTCATTCTTGATCGCTGACTTGTGCTTCAACACTGACCTGATTCTTGACTTCCACCCCTCACCTGGCCTCCGTTATTAATCTTGACCTTCAGACTAACCTACTCCTTTACTTTGACCTTAACCCTGACCCATGGCCCAGCTTGAACCTGAGCACCAACCTTGACTATAATCTCAACCTGATTTTTGACCTTCTCTTTGACCTCTACACTGACTTTGTCCCTGTCTTGACATTAACCTTCATCTTAATCTAATTCTTTACTTTGAGTTTAATCCTGATATGGGTTCCAGTCTTGACCTGGATGAAGAACTAATCCCTGACACTGACCTTGACTGTGCCCCCTCAACACAATACTTTATGTGGACTTCAACTTTGAAACTTTGATTTGACTTCCAATCTTGATCTTTTTTTTTTTTTTTTTTTTTTTATTTGGAGTCTCACTCTGTCGCCCAGACTGAAGTGCAGTGGAACGCTCCCGGCCATAGCCTTGACCTCCTGGGCTCCGGCGATCCTTCCGCCTCAGCCTTCCAAGTAGCCGGAACTACAAGTAGTGTGTGCAACTGTGCCCGGCTAATTTTTTTGATTTATTGTAGAGACAAGGTCTCGCCAAGTTGCCCGGGTGGGTCTTGAACCCGTGAGCTCAGGCAATCCACTCGCCTTGGCCTCCCAAAGTGCTGGGATTAGAGGCTGAGCCACCTAGCCTGGCCCAATCTTGATCTTAACTACAACTCAGTCCACCCTTGACCGTGATATTACTCCTAATGTGGACCATAACCTTGCCTTGGCCTCTTACTTTACCTTGACCACAACACCTACCTGGTCCTTGACCTGGGCTGTAACCTTGACTTCATTCCTGACTTAACCTCAACTTTCTCCCTAACCTTGGTTTTATCTTTAATCCCACATCCACCTGAGTCCCATCCACACCCTCATCATGACCCACCGTCATCCCTATCCCTTCTTCATCTTCTCTGACTCAGTGTTCTCCCCAACTATGTCCTTGTCTGTATCCTTGCCTTCCCCTTAACCTCACCCTCAGCCCCATTCCTAAGTTCATTCTTGAACCCACCATTTGTTCTGTCCAGTTGTCTGTTTCCTTGGGAACTTCCCTTAAGACTGGGGATGGGCTGAGTTGAGGGGCGGTGGACGTCTCTCAGGCATAGGTCCTACCTGACCTGGCCCACAGACTGGTGATGGAGTGAACGACGCCCCAGCCCTGAAGAAAGCAGAGATCGGGATCGCCATGGGCTCAGGCACGGCCGTGGCCAAGTCGGCAGCAGAGATGGTGCTGTCAGATGACAACTTTGCTTCCATCGTGGCTGCGGTGGAGGAAGGCCGGGCCATCTACAACAACATGAAACAGTTCATCCGCTACCTCATCTCCTCCAACGTCGGCGAGGTCGTCTGGTAAGGCCCTGCAGTCCCTCTTCCCGGCCTTCTGGACCAGCTTTGTGTGCCTGGGATGGGAAAACGCCTGTTCCTGGGATGAGGCTGCAGGGATGGAGGAGCACACGCCCTGCCCTGGCTGGGGCCTTCCAGGGTTCCACCTCAGGGTGGGCAGGGGCGAGAACACCTCGTCGTTCTCCAAAGGCCCTGGTGATAAATGGATTGTAGCACACTCCAAGGAGGTGCCTGAATAGTCTCCCTCTCATCCCTCCAGCCATAACCTTCTTCCCACTTTCAGACTCACATGAGAGAAACCAACCCCATCTTGAAGTAGTAGTGTGTCCCTGTGTTAATGTGTATGTGTGTACGTGGCATGTTTGCCTGAGTTGGTGGCGTGTGTAACGTGTTTATGTATGCATGTGTGCTCTTGTGCATCTTTGGACTGAGCACAAGCAGAAGGGTTTGTGCCAGTGTGTAACTGCGTGCATGCCTATGTTCACAGGTGAGGGATGCCTGCAGGGACCAGTGAGCACGTGGTGCTGGACACCTGTGGACTCTGTATCTCCACACATCAGGGTGAATGTGGAGGTGTTTGTGTTTGTGGGATTGTATAGCATGTGCTAGGTTTTTGCACGTCTGGTGCTTGAGCATGTCCTGTTCATGCATGTGTGGATGTGTGTTTACTTGACCTCTGTTAGGCCTGAAGAACAGATATGTCCAGGATCCAGAGTTGGGACTAAGGAAGGCAGGGCTGGCCGGGTATGAGGCAGAGCCAAGCACACACACCCAGCCCTCATGCACTCATGGCAGAGGTAGCAGAGAGAAGGGACTGCTGAGGAGGCGTGAGTGAGCTCCCCAGCCTGGGGTACGAGGTTACAGTCTGGTAAGGAGAGAGCCAGGCAAACAGCCCTTGTCTGGTGGGGCCAGGCCTGCTGGGGGCTAGAGCCCATGCCTCTGGTTCCAGCATCTTCCTCACGGCAATTCTGAGCCTGCCCGAAGCCCTGATTCCCGTGCAGCTGCTCTGGGTGAACCTGGTGACGGATGGCCTACCTGCCACGGCCCTGGGCTTCAACCCACCAGATCTGGACATCATGGAGAAGCTGCCCCGAAACCCCCGCGAGGCCCTCATCAGTGGCTGGCTCTTCTTCCGATACCTGGCTATTGGAGGTGAGCAGGGCCCTGGCCCTCTGTGGGCTTCCTAAGCTTCCTACACAAGGGAGCCTTGTGTCTGTTAGGCTTCCATACTTCACATACTGACTCAGCCTGGCTTGTGCAGAAAGAAACTGTGTGGGCTCATGTAACTGAAAAGATCGGAACATACCTGACATGGCTGGATCCAGGCCTCAGATAGTGTCACTGGCATGTTTTGGCTCCCCTTCAGCCCCAGCCAGGTGCCTCTCAGGGTGGCAGAATGTCTGCTGCACCTCCAGCCCTCATGTTCACTCCATTACAACCCTAAATTCAGCAGATGAGAGAGGCTTTTATCATACTGCTTCCCTGCTATTATGATGAGACAGAGGCCTGTTCTCATTGGCCCAGATTGAGTCACCTGCTTATCTCCTAGCCAATCACTGTGGTCAAGGGTGTGGCAGGTGCTGCTTGCCAATGAGGGTAGGTGCCTGTAAACCACAATACCCAGAAAAGGAGAGGGTGGCTGCCTTCTAGGAATTCAGGGAATTGCTAGGCACGAGCAACAGATGTCAGAAAAAACACCACTGTCCACTACAGCCAGTCTCCTCCTCCCCTCCCTGCAGTGTACGTGGGCCTGGCCACAGTGGCTGCTGCCACTTGGTGGTTCCTGTATGATGCTGACGGACCTCATGTCACCTTCTACCAGCTGGTGAGCAAGTGATGGCCAGGGAGCCTGTTCGGGTTAGACCCAAGGTAGAACTTACAGCTCGAGTTGTGTTGGTGTTACAGGGAAGAGGGACCCAGAGCCCCATGGCTGGCTGCAGTGTCCTTCCCTGCCCCGACACACGTATATAAACATCTACCTACTAAGCTCAGAGGCCACTAGAAACCTAGAGACACCAGCATAGTTCTCCAAGCCAGAGAAGATCTGCTGTCTCTCTCAACCAAGGGGTCCAAGGGACGTAGCTGCCCAGAAGTGTCTTACATTTCTCAGGAGACCCCCAAAAACATCAAGGAAGGGCTCAGAGGAATGAGCCAAAATGGTGGAACTCCAGGCAGAGGGTCAACTGAGATCAAGAGGCCTGTAATTACACCTGTAATACAAGCACTTCGGGAAGCTGAGGTGAGAGGATTGCCTAAGACCAGGAGTTCAAGACCATCTTGGGCAACATAGCACGCCTTCATCTTAAAAAAAAAGAAAATTAGCTGAGTATGGTGGTGCACGCCTGTAGTCCTAGTTACTTAGGAGGCTGAGGTGGGAAGATCACTTGAATCCAGGAGTTTGAGGCTACAGTGAGCTATGATTGGGCCATTGCACTCTGGTTTAGGTGACAGACTGAGACCCTGTCTCAAAAAAAAAAAAAAAAGGGTTGGGGGTGGAGTCCACGGGCCTCTTCACCCTACAGCCAGCAGATGTTACTCGGGACCTTCTGACCTCTTGAAGTCACCTGGCTGGGAAGTGCCCACCAGGGGCCAGCTTAGCACAGCCCAGCTCTGGAAGCAGGCGAAGAAGAGACCCCTCAGCTGCCATCTGCTGGTCTGTTCCTTCGCCCAAGCAGTCAACTCATTTCCTTTCTTGAAACAGCCTCTCATTCTCATTTAAAACTGAGCTCTGCAGGGCAGGAGGCCCCAGGGACCACTTACCTGTCATCCACCAGCCCTCAAGCTGGTAGGGTATTCCCTCTGGCAGCAGTGCAAAGTGTGGGCCCAGGCCCTCATCCCGAAGGCTGGTACCCTCCCCCTGCTGGCTACCGGACAACCTCAGGCACCTCCCTTCCCTTCCCCCTCCCAGCCACCGCTGGGCCTCATTTGGCTTCTGTGGGAGCAGCAGGCACAGAGAGGGACGTGCTACCTTCATCCAGCCCAGCCTCTATTACCACCCTTTATTCTAAGGACCACAAATCTTGAGGACCCCCCACCCTCTCTTGTGAGCCCTGGTCCCATAAACCCAGATGGCTACCTCCTTTGCAATGTCCACAGACCCATTGCAAGTCAAAAGTCCCAAACCAGGCTCATCCCCTTTCCCCCCCCGAATGAATCTTCCCCATCATCCCTATCTCGGTTCCCCTACCTGCCTGGCCACCCAAGCCAGACACCCAGGAGTCATGCTAGAGTCTAGCCCTCTCCTCCACGCCCACCACCAGTCAGTCCTCAGTCCTCTTGGTGCTTCCTTCTCAGCCCTGGGTAATTCATTTCTCATCTAGCCATTTGCTCAAGAAATGGCTATCAAGAACCAACTGTGTTCTAGGCACAAATTACTAGGGATAAGGCAATGAGGGAGCAGACAAAGTCTCTGCCAAGAGCTTACAGTTTGGTAGGGAGAGAGCCAGGGCAACAGGTTGTCACATTTCAGTGTGGGAAGTGCTTCCACAGAGAAGAGGCAGGTGGTGAGTCAGAGGGGGTCAAGGGCTAGACCTGAGAGAGAACTTTCAGCTCAAGTTGTTGGAGTTTCAGGAGAGAAGTCCAAAGCCCCATGGTTCCAGGAGGAAGGGCCAAGAGGCAGCCAGAGTGGTTAAGACCAGGTTGCATAGAGTCTGGACCCAGGTTGCCTGTGTTCACTCCTTAGTTCCACCACATACTAGCGGTGTGACTTTAGGCAGGCTACTTAACCTCTCTCTGTGCCTTAGTTTCCTCATCTGTAAAATGGATAATATTAGTTCTTACCTTATAGGACCATCAAGAGGATGAGCTGAGTTAATACTCATAAAATGTTTCAAATGACATCTGTCTCATCATAAGAGCTATGTAAGTGTCAATTCAGTTAATAAAACTCAAGGGGGCCTTGCAGGATACTGGTACTAGGAAACAGGCAGGCAGGTAAAGGGAAGGAGTAGGTGGAGCAATGACTTCTCCAGGAGAAATGGGCTTCCACACGGGTTCTGGATACACCTACCAGATAGAAGTTCCAACCCCGAGCACTTTCTTTTTCTTTTCTTTTTTTTTTGAATTGGAGTCTCACTCAGTCACCCAGGCTGTAGTGCAGTGTCATGCTCATAGCTACCCCAGTGTCGACTCGCTGGGCTCCAGCGATCCTTCCACCTCAGCCCTTCAAATAGCCAGAACTACAGGCATGCATCACCATGTCCGGCTATTTTTTATTTTATTTTCTCTTATTTTATTTTATTTTATTTTTAGTTGGAGTCTCACTCTGTCGCCCAGACTGGAGTGCAGTGGCCGCTCTCGGCCACTGCAGCCTCGACCTACTGGGCTCCAGCGATCCTTCCACCTCAGCCTTCCGAGTAGCCGGAATTACAGGCACGCGCTACCATGCCCAGCTAATTTTTGATTTATTGTAGAGATGAGGTTTTACCAAGTTGCCCAGGCGGGTCTCGAACCCGCGGGCTCAGGCAATCCACTCACCTCAACTTCCCAAAGGACGGGATTACAGGCTGAGCCACTGAGCCTGGCTATTTTTTATTTTATTGTAGAGACGAGGTCTCGCCAAGTTGCCTGGCTGGGTCTCGAACCCACAGGCTCAGGCAATCCACTCGCCTCGGCCTCCCAAAGTGCTAGGATTACAGGCTGAGCCACTGAACCTGGCTTGCTTTCTAATGAATGATGCGAGAGGCCACATTGGGACCTGAGACCTGGGGCTTAATGTGTATGACAGGTGCTCACTGGTGAATCCCAGAAAGTCGTCACAAGGCAGATTGTTTATGGCAAGAGCAACGGATCTATTGAAACTTTTTTTTTTGGAGTTAGGGTCTCTGTTGCAGGCTGGATGGAGTGCAGTGACACAATCATGGCTCACTGAAGCATCAGCTTTCTGGGCTCAAACAATTCTTCTATCTCAGCCTCCCGAGTAGCTGAGACTACAGGCCTGTGCCACCATGGCTGGCTAATTTTTTTTTTTTTTTTGGTAGAGACGAGGTCTTGCGATGTTCCCTAGGCTGGTCTTGAACTCCAGGGCTCAAGCGATCATTCTGTCTTGGTCTCCCAAAGTGGTGGGATTACAGGTGTAAGCCACCATGCCCGGCTTCTATCGAAACATCTTGATGTGACTCTTGGTATTTTTCTTTCCTGTGTATGTGCATAAGGATATAAGTATGCCTGTGCTGGGTGGGAGATGTGTGTCCTTGCTTGTATGTATGTGTGTGGTTTGTGTGTGTGTGTTTGTGTGTGTACTTGTGCATAAGCCACTAAGATCTGATGGCAGTGGCACATCTGGCATTAGGATTTGGTCCTCTTGGTCACTGGGTAGGTAGAGCCGTCTTCAAAGTTTAGAACTTTTTCTGTGCTCTATGATCAGCACCAAATAAAATCCTGCATTTGCCCCAAATGCCAGAGCTTGGGTTTTGGAGAAAACTCCCAATGTTAATTGAAAAAAGATTAGATTTTCCATCTCTTTGTTAAAATAAGTAACCTAGCCAAGCCATCATCATTTATAATTTTTCTTTCTTGCCTTATCTGCATTTGTGCAGTGTGGGGAAAGAGGTGAATTGACAGGACAGGGGCTGGGCATTTTCCAGGTTCTCTTTGAAGACTATTTTTTCAGCACATGGCTGCAATTTCTAAACGCTTAATTTAAAAGGTCTCTGTGGCCAGGCTCGGTGGCTCAGCCTGTAATCCCGTGCCTTTGGGAGGCTGAGGTGAGTGGATTGCCTGAGCCCGTGGGTTCGAGACCCGCCTGGGCAGCGAGACCTCATCTCTACAATAAATCAAAAAATCAGCCGGGCGTGGTAGCAAATGCCTGTAATTCCGACTACTTGGAAGGCTGAGGTGGAAGGATCACCGGAGCCCAGCAGGTCGAGGCTGCGGTGGCCGGGAGCAGCCACTGCACTCCAGTCTGGGTGACAGAGTGAGACTCCAACTCAAAATTAAAAAAAAGATCTCTGTGTTCAGATAAGACACTCCCAAGAACAGATCTATGTTCTTGGAGAACCAAGCTGGTTAACAGAAATGAGTGCTCACCTCATCCCCGTGATGTGGAAAAGAACAAGACAAACTCTCCTAAATGTCTTCAGTTCAGCCTCTTATCACAGCAGATTCTGTGAATAAGATTTGTGAACAGAAAGAAAACTCTCCCCTGGGGCTAAAGGGAGCAAAGGCCACTTCCTTTATCATGCTCTAGCAGCTTCTTGTTAATTACAGAGAAGCCTGTGTTAAGGCTGCACTCTGGCAGTCCATTAGTCTGTGTCAAGAGCAAAAAGCAGATTTGGTAGAGCTCAATTTCAGGGGGCAGAAATGGAATGAGGTGTGGATGGAATTGGATTTAATAACAATGAACAGGCACATGCAGCCTTCTTCTATACCACAGAGGTGAATTCTGTTCAGGCATGGTTAGGTTGATTTTCCCGTGCGTTTACTCATTCAGTGGTCTCAGTCATTGACCTCCCCCAAAACCGGCCCAGAGCTCAATGCACCCTCAGGGTAAAGCCCTAGGCACACCAAGCTCCTGTTGGCTGTTCTCCTCTGATCTGTGTTACCCATTTCCCAGAACAGCTTGCTCTGTGCCCATGCTTTCCCTGGCGCGGTGCAGCCACCCCACCACCACCACCACTGCCCCCATCCTGGGTGAGCACCTTTCCCGGGCTACCTGGGCCTACCCCATAGCTGTGTTTTGACCACTGGTGGTGCTCGGGGGACAGGGTGAGGCCTCCTTTCTCTCACCCACCAGTCCTCCCATCCCTCACCTGCTGCTCTTCCTGACCCCTCCACCGTGCCCTCAGAGGAACTTCCTGAAGTGCTCCGAGGACAACCCGCTCTTTGCTGGCATCGACTGCGAGGTCTTCGAGTCACGCTTTCCCACCACCATGGCCTTGTCTGTGCTCGTGACCATTGAAATGTGCAATGCCCTCAACAGGTGGGCTGGGCATGGGGCCGGGTGATAGGGCTGAGGCTTGAGAGTGGGGTCTGAGAATCAGGTGGGAGATGGTCTAGGACTGGGGTCTGGGGGTCGGGGGAGGTCCAGGATTGGGATCCAAGGGTCAGAAAGATCCAGGATTGGAGTCTGGAGTCAGAGGGGTCCAGGATTGGAGTCCAAGGGCCAGGAGTTCCATGACTGGGGCCTGGAAGTCACAGGGCTTCAGGATTAGGGTCTTGGAGCTAGAAGGATCCAGGATTGGAGTCCAAGGACCAGAGGGACCAGAACTGGGCTCTGAGGCTCAGAGAGGCCCAGAAGGGGATCCTGAGAGTCAATGGGGACTAGAATTGGAGTCTAGGGGACAAAAGGGGCCAATACTGGGATCTAAAGAAATAGAATGGCAAGGATTAGGTCCAAGGGACAGATCTAGGACAGGCCCAGGAGGGCTGAGTGGGCAGCAGTGACCCAGCACTCCCGCCCTTTGGACCACTGGAAAGGTGGTGAGCCTCCTCCACACGGGGTGGGGAGTGGGGGAGAAGGTGTGCCCACAGCAGGGCCTCTCCATACGTGGGCCTGAGGTGAGCACCTGTGTTCTTGACAGTGTCTCAGAGAACCAGTCACTGCTGCGGATGCCACCCTGGCTGAACCCCTGGCTGTTGGCAGCTGTGGCCATGTCCATGGCCTTGCACTTCTTCATTCTACTCGTGCCGCCTTTGCCCGTGAGTTGCTCTACCCCTATCCCGTCCCACCTCACCCCCCTGGTCCTCGGACTAATATTATAGGCCCTGGGCTGGTTGCTGGAAACCAGTCAGAGGACAGGAAAGTGACAGGTCTGTTTAGCTACCATCCTCCACATGTGTCCCCACCTTCGGAAGCTCCTAGAAGTGGACAGAAGAGCTGGAGACCGCTTGCCGAGGAGAATGTCCCAAGGCAGGATGACAGGAAGGATTCCTGGTGCAGAATCCTTCCACCTCCCAACTGGATAGATGGGGTTTCGTCCTGCAGATGAGGTCAGGGGAGGGTACTTCAGGGAGAGAAACTGAGTACGCAGAGAGATCTGAAGGAGGGTACATCAAGAAGCATCCTAGCAGTGCTTATGAATGACTCATGCCTATAATCTCAGCGCTTGGGGAGGCTGAAGCAGGAGAATCGCTTTAGGCCAGGTTTGAAGCCAGCCTGGACAACATCAGGACCCCATATCTACAAAAAAATTAAAAAGTAAGAGGGAATGCTCATGAAGAGTCCACTGGAGCCAGGTGAATGAGAGGTGAACAACTGAGGCATGGGGCATACTTCCTCTAACCAAGCCTTACCTCCCCTCCCCCCAGCTCATTTTCCAGGTGACCCCACTGAGTGGGCGCCAGTGGGTGGTGGTGCTCCAGATATCTCTGCCTGTCATCCTGCTGGATGAGGCCCTCAAGTACCTGTCCCGGAACCACATGGATGGTGAGTGGGAGGCCCCAGACCCTCCCGCCCTGCTTCCCACGCACCTCCAGCCTGCCTTTCCACCTGCCTCTGCTCCCGGGCTGCAGTGGACAACGCGGTGTGGTACACGGAGCCTCCCTGTCTGTTCAGCGGGGATGCATTCTTGGATCACAAAGCAGAGGATGTGAAGGGGTGCTGGTGGCTGGGACCGGAGGTGTCTGCAGGGTCTTGTGCTGCAAAGGTCCCGGGCTCACTGGGCCACCAACCAGAGCACTGCTCATGCCACGCTATCTCACTGCCCTTGCCTGCCATCACTCCCCGCATGGCCAGGACACTGTGCCCTCCTCTGGGCCTTGGCCTCTGACCCTTTTGCACCCGGCCTGTCTTTATCCAGGCATTCTCAGGACAGTCTCGCAGGCCTGGAATAGACAGCCGCTGACCACCTCCCGGACCCCAGACCACACCGGGTTGGCCTCCTTGGTGTTATCTTGTGGGTGGGTGATGGGGAAGGCTCTTTGTTTCTGAGCTCACAACTCCGGGTCTGCCTTCACCTGTGAGTGGAGAGGACAGGATGGCAGGGGTCGGAGTGAGGAGAGTGGGTGATTTTGAGCCTCCCAGAGGCAAGGGAGGCAGCATTGTCCTCACTGTCAGGTGCTCAGAGAGGGAGGGAGCAGGCTGAGCTCCTGTCCTGGGAGTTTTCACAGTGGTAGTGGCCATGTGGCTGAACTGCCGTGCAGGGGCCCGGGTTGGGCCAGGCAGTGGCCGGAATGTGTCCCAGCCCCAGGGAAGGAGGTGGAGGCTATAAATAGATCATGCACCTGCTGTTCCATGGGGGCTGAGCAACGGAGCTGGCCGACCCCAGTTCTGTTCAGAGAGTGACCAGACTCATGCAGGGGGCTCACTGGAGGGTGGAAGTGGGTGCTCAGCCGAAGCAAAGCTTGTTGGAGCCCATGGGTGGGGGTGGGGGGAGCTATACAGGCCATTCTGTCACCTGTGTGATTCTTTCTGGCCTATCCTCTGTGATACCCTGGGGAGATGTGGAGGAAGAAATGGGTCTGACACTAGAAACTCTGTCCACGGGGGCCCAAGGCTTCCCATTGCTGGCCAGAACATCGATATGGTCTACCAGGAAGACCTCTGGCTGACCTAGATCACACTCAGTCACCTGCAGAACCTGGCCTTCTGGGGACATAGGCTGCTTGGGTAGCTTCTTTGTCTTGTCTTCCTTAAGAGATTTCCCTAGTGGATACAATTGTCAGGGAAGATCAGCATATTTTCTTGAGAAAACTTAAAAGTGAGAAATTGCTGCCCATGGCTACAATTTTTCAGCCAATGGGAAAAGGCTGTATCTTAGATGCCTTTCAGCATTGGCTGCAGGATGGGCCTGACAGGAGGAGGGAGAGGGTGCCTAGCAGGAGGGAGCAGGTTAGAAGGCTGGGAGGGAGCGACTGCTGCTGGGCTGCCAGAAGTTAGTGGTAGTCCCTAGAAGATTCGGTGTAAAGTGGAGGTTGAAAAGGACAAAGCTGAGCCTGATGGAGTGGGCTTGGCGAGCACAGCTGCTGGAGCTCAGGTACAGGGCAGAGACGTGAGGCCTAGGGGTGGCCAGAGCCTTGAATGCCAAGGTAGGGACCCTGGACATCATCCTCAGAACGATGGGGAGGCACAGAAGGGGTGTGAGCATGGGAAGGACTGTGTCTACTATGGAGGATAGACAGAGCAGGGAGACTGAAAGCAGGGAGGCTGGAGAGCGGTGCCGAGTGGGTCTGGGAAGGAGGTGGAGTCCCAGGCCCAGTGAGCTGATCCCAGTCAATGCCCCTGCCTCCACTGTCGACCTGAGATGCTGACTGTGGTCCTGGCGAAGTCTGGCTTGAAAAGTAGTGCCCGACTGTGGGATTGACTATGGGGCCCACGGGACAGACGCAGGCTGGGCACCTGTGGCCACATCTGAGAGGTGGGGTGGAGGGGCCCGAGGAATGTGCTCGCTGGAAGCCCAGACAGCCCTTCCCAGTGCGGCTGCAGTCCCTGGGGCCTCCTAAAGCCGGCCAGGGCGGGGGTGAGAGAGGACCCTTTACGTTCCCAAGTCAGCCTGGTGGCCTTTTAGGGAAGTTTTGTTGAGGCCTGATGCTTGTGGCTTCCCCGTGATTTATGAGAGATGTGTCCTGGGGAGAACTGTGGATGCCAGGTCCACCCTGGGGGGTTGGGGGATCCTCTTGCCCTGCCTTTTGGCTCTGTCCAGGTGTGGTTGAGTAGCTGTCAGGGAGGCCTATGGGCTTCCTGCAGGGTGGGGGCTAGATAGATGGGGACAGATCTGGGAGGGTTCAGGATACCAGGCAGGCTTGGACTTTGTTCTGAGGATGGTAGGGAGTCGTGAAAGGGACAATGGGCCAGATTGGGCTTTTGTGTGATGCCAGAGACAGAAGGATGATGGAAAGGTGAGACTGGGGCTGGGGGCAAGGCCAAGAGGCCTTCAAGCCTGGGGGAGGCCAGTGGAGGAAGAGATGAGCTGAAGAGATTTGGGTGACGTCAGGCCTGGGTATATGGGATGGAGAGGTGAGGCAAGGAGACCCTAGCTTCTGGACCTTGTGATGATGGGTGGTGGCTCCCCACACTAAAAGCCAGGAGAATGTTCATTGCAGTGGGTTGGAGGTGTTGCTGGAGCATGTGAAATGAAGGCAACCTTGGGGGACTTCCAGGGGAACATGTCCTGCAGAGCAGGGTAACCTGGCTGCAACTTGGAAGGTCTGGCAGGGCCGAGGGTCAACCAAGATCTGGAGTAAGGGAGGCCCTAGGAGGGTCGGGCTGTCCAAGGAGAAGTGGAGGATGGATGGGACTGAGAAGGGGGTTCTTGGGTTCTTCACGTCCTCTCGGGTTTTTCTTCCAGAAGAAAAGAACGAGAAGTGAGTGCTGGGAACAGATTGGAGCCTCCGATGTGTACCTCGGACTGATGGTGCTCAAGCATCTATCCCCACCCCACCCCTGCCACCTCACTCGCCCACTTGCCCACTGGGCCCTGCTGAACACTCAGCAGACCTGAGGCCAGAACCGTCACCCCAGGCTCGGTCCCAGGGTCTCTGTCCCCACTTCTGCCTGGTCTGGGGGCTCTGTAATTCACGTTTCTTGGACTCTTCTGGAAGGTTCCCTTCCGGGGACTCTGGCCCAGGAGCTGCAGCCTGGGCGGGGGCTGCCAAGAACCAGGGCTGGCACAAATCCAGAAATCCAGAGGCCCTCCACCCCCAAATCCATGAGCACATTCTGGAGCCTGCTTCTCCTTGCTTGGGGGCTGAGCATTTCCTTGGTGACCAGTGCCTCTGCACTGACGGAGGACTCCTTGGGATCCTTCTTGCTGGCGCTGACCTCTCCCTTAGTGCCTGGCCTGGGGCCTGGTCATCCCTGGGGGGGAGGGATCAGAAAGGGGGCCATCTGGGCCCAGCTGTGACAGCAAGGGCGGGCAGCTCCTTCCACTCTGCTCTGCTTCCACAGAGTCGGCTCCTGAGAGCTTGAGCCTGTTTCTGTTTATATGAGCAGGGCCCAGGGAGTTGAAGGGTCAGAGAAAGGGACATGAGGAGTGGGGAGGAGGGGCTGGGCAAAGACCCCTTTCCCAGGACATGGCCTTGTCTGCCTGCCTCAGTTCTGCTCACTTCCTGAACTCAGGTTTCCTGGGAACATATTGAGTCTCGTTGCCTGGTCTGCCGAGCAGAGGTCGAGTTTGCCATCCATGTCCCTGGTGCCTGAGACCCCAGACATCCTTGGGTCCCTGACCGCTGTGCCCTTCCACCCAGCCCTGTGTGCGGTCATTGTGCTGTGAACACAGCTGGGTGCCTCTGAGTCTGGTGGACTCTGGGTCTCATTCTTTGTCCTTCCCCCAACACCCATGGGCCATAAGGATGTCACTAAGGATGACTGATTACCCAAGGGTGCCTTCTCTCCCTCCCTCCTTGCTGGAGGGATGCGTCTCCTTGTGGACTACGTCAGATGACAGGAAGATAGCATTTGATGGGCAGAATTTTTCTCTTAACTCAGCTTTTGTTCTTTTGGCAAAAATCAGCTAAGCGTAGCAGAAAACAGTGAGTAAATGACTGTGTGTGTGTCTTTGCCCCTCCTAGAGAGTGTACGGAGTGATTATTTTATATGTAAACCAAGACTCACATCCCTGTCTTGGTCCCTAGAATCAAAAGCCCCCTGGGCCTGCCTTGCCAGTTGAAGGAGCTCCGTGTTCCATAGCTCTTTCCCATCCTTCTTCCCTCCCCTCTCTCAAAAGTTCTGGGAGGGGCAGCAAGAGAAACAGAATAGGAGGGTGGGGAGTTGTGGTTCCCAGCAAAGATTCTCTGCTTCTTTCCTGGAGGTCTTAGCAGGGGCAGGGCTCTGTGCCCATTTGCTGATGTGCTGTTTGGTAGAGAAATAAAGGTTGGGTGCCAAGGACAACAGAGGACCCTTGACGTCTTGTTTTCTCCGAGTATTGTCCCATCATCCCTGCCTGCTGGGCATCCACCTGGGGCCCTGACACCTGCACCCATCCCACCCTGGGAGACACTGAGAGGAGGTCTAGTTCTCCCACATCACCAGGATTGTTCTTTTGGCCTCCGAGACAATGTTTTTCTTGTTCTGTTTCCCTCCTGGAATCCCAGGATTCCATCTGTCTCTGGTTCTTCCAAGGCCAGCTCAAGTGCACCGCTCACCTCCCTGGGCTCCCCTCAGCCTATAGGGCCCACTGATTCGCCTGGGTGACCCTCCTTTCCTGGGAGCTTGGGGCTCTGGGCAGGAGTAGTCATGTCCCCGTGTCCCTCCTTTCCTTCCTCTGAAGGGAAAACGCGTGGTGAAGGTTTGGTATTTAGTCCTCTACCCAGATATCCTGGGAAGGAGACTCTGGTCCTGTGGGTGAGGGGCAGACAGGACCAACTACATAATTTGCAGGGCCCATTGCAAAATGAAAACCTGGAGTCCTTTGTTCAAAAATTGAGAATTACAGTGATAGCAGAACATTAAACATTACAATTCATTAAACTGCGTGTCTAAAATTGGTAGATTTTATTGCATGTGAATTGTACTTCAATACAGTTTGATTTAAAAGAAAAAAAGAGGTAGAAGCCAGAGAGGAGGTGGGTGGGCATGTGGCTACCATGCAGGTGTGGAGGTGGCAGCAGTAGGGGAGGAGCCAGAGCCTCCCAGGTGAGCACTCAGTGTTTAAAGGCAGAGCCTAGGCCAGCCCCCAGGAGTCCTCTTAATCCAGGTCAGGAAGAGGCTGGGATGAGGAGGAACAGCCCAAGAACAGAGCCTTTCTGAGCATGGGGCCTGGTGCAACTGCACAGCTCACACGTCTGTGAAGCCAGCTGTGATGAAAAAGGCAGCCCCTGCCCCCAGGAGCTCCCAGGTTTCTTTGCGGGGGGCAGGGATAGGCACATAGCTCACAGCAGGGGCCAGGGTGGGCAGGCAGAAGCCTTGTCCTTTCCCCACAGCCCATCTGTAAGCCCTCTCAAGCCACAAAACCTTTTGTACACATCATCTCCCAAGGTCTTGATGAGATGGGCCAGGCAAGGGTCAGGGCTCCATTTTACAGATGAAAAGCCCAGGACGGGCCATGCCTTGCCCAAGGCCCTCTGAGGGGCTGAGTGTCTAGCTTGCATCATGGCGACCAGGCAGGGCGTGGAGATTAAGATGCCCGGGGCCCTTGTATAAGAGGCGGTCCAGCTCCAGCCGCGCCACCTCCATCCCCACCCAGGCCGGCCCAAGTCCAGCTCTTTCAGTCCACAGCATGGAGTCGGCAGGCCAGGATGGGGCGGCCAAGGTAAACAGAGGTCTCCTTACCTCACGGTTGCTCAACCAGGAGGGAATTCCCTGGCAAGCCCCGGCACACTTCTCATTGGCAGCTGCCCCTCCAGAGACCAGGGCTGGGTGCTCCTCAGGCCCCCCGCTGCCACCCTCGTGGTGGTGGGAGGGGCCATGCTGTGGCTGCTTAGGAGAAAGGAAGGGCAAAACCAGATGCAAGAAGGGAAAGGAAAGACTTCTATGCACACAAAGGCCTGCGGGCAAGTGTCCACAGCGGTCTTAACCATTATCGGCCCCCAGCGTCCATCAGCAGATGAAGGATCACAAACTGTGGTATGTCTCTATGACGAAATACTCCTCAGCGATGAAGAGGAAGAAGCCACCACTATCCACAATCACTGGATGAAGCTGAAAATCACTGCGCTGAGCAAGAAGCCAGACACAAAACAGAGCTCCTCCTGTGTGTGTGATTCCACTTATCTGACGATCTTGGGAGGAAGAGTAAATCTGTAGTGACAAAGCAGATTGGCTGTTGCCCAGGCCTGGGGCCTGGGGAAAGATTGACCACAGAGGGGCAGGTGGGCGATGGATCTATGGGAAAGGGGGGCTACATGCATTTGTCAAAACTCATCAAGCTAACCTGGGTGCATTTTATTGTATGTGAATTGCACCTCAATACAGTTTTATTTCAAAGAAAATTTTTAAGAAGAGGTAGGAGCCGGAGAGGAGGTCGATAGGCACATGGCCACTGTGCAGGTGTGAAGATGGCAGCAGCATCAGGAGCTGGGGAGGAGATGGAGCGCTCAGAGGGCAGGGCTTAGGTCAGACCCCAGGGGTCATCTTAATCCATGACAGGAAGAGGCTGGGGATGAGGAGAAAATGTCCAAAAGGATGGATGGGGACCAAGAAGGTAGGATGCCTTAAACTTGGGACGCGGGTCCTCCACCGGTCATGGCCCATAGTGATGAGGAGTAAAAGAAGATTGAGAAGCAATGTAAAGTTTGGGCAATGGGGAGAAGCTGAACCTGGGGCCACTGCTGGAACCTCCAGGCCTCCCCAGAGATGCCTGCCTCATCCCCAGTCTCCCGTGACTGTCTCTGCTAGGCTGACCCCACACCTGTCCCAACCAACGTCTGAGGGGCTATGTGGCACTGGGGAGTCCCTAGGACACTGGGGCAGGCCCAGATGGTGTCAGGGGTTGGACTGAGCTGCAATCCCCGCATCCCTGGGACTCTGAGTGGCTAAGGAGACCTGGTGGAGGCTGCGCCCACTCCCTTGAGGGCTCGAGCTGGCCTCTGGGCCTGGGCAGTGACTCCATGACGGGCACTGACTCCCTCCACACTGCACAGAGCCGCTAAATTTAGCCAGGCAGGGGAGGCTGTTCTGGGCCGAGTGCTTGGCAGCAGGGCCTTGTCTCCCTACAAGGCCCGGCCCAGTCCCCGAGCTGGCCACCCGGCCTTTGGGCTTATAAGGCAGGACTGGCGGCTCCCAAGTGCTGGAGTCTTTGAGTGGGCTCCAGGCCAAGCCCTCAGACTTTGGGGAGCCTCCTTCCCAGACACCAGCAGACATGGGATCTACTTGTTGTGTGACCTTGGACCAGGCACTCAACTTCCAGAGCCTCAGTTTCCTTATCTGTAAAATGGGGACTCTAGTACCTACGCACAAGGCTGTTGTGAAGAAAACCCTACTGAACTCCCAAGGTGTGAAACTCCGGCCTCTGTGCTGGGCGCTCCCAACCCCACAATGTCTAGAACAAATGCAGATGTCTGTCCCGGAGGATGCTGGAATTAGGGCCAAGGATGGGAGAGCAAAGACCTCTGATTCAAAAGAGGCATTTTGCAACCAGTGAGAGCAGCATTGACCCAGCAGCTGACTGTTCTACTCTTGCGGAGTTATCAGCTGGAGAATACATGTGGGCCTTTGGGGGCACACTTCGGATATGATAAGGTCCTCAAAGGAACGATCCTTCATGCCAGTCTGTTTTCTGAGGGCCAGGGCCAGCTCCCAGGCTATAACAGAAACACAAAACCAAGCAATTCTGTCTGTCCATCAGTCAATCTCTCCATCAGTGAGCCTGGCTCCTTGGAGGAGGAGGACATGGTGGTGGTGTGAGATAGACACAAACTGAAGAACTGCCTGGCCTCCCTCTCTCCCCACTTCCTTCTTTTTTTTTGAGTTGGAGTCTCACTCTGTCGCCCAGACTGGAGTGCAGTGGCCGCTCTCGGCCACCGCAGCCTCGACCTGCAGGGCTCTGGCGATCCTTCTGCCTCAGCCTTCCGAGTAGCTGGAACTACAGGTGCGCGCTACCACGCCCGGCTAATTTTTTGATTTATTGTAGAGATGAGGGCTCGCCAAGTTGCCCAGGTGGGTCTCGAACCCGTGGGCTCAGGCAATCCACTCACCTCAGCCTCCCAAGGCACGGGATTATAGGCTGAGCCACTGAGCCCGGCTTCCCCTTCCTTCTTTTATTTCTTCCTCTTTTCCTCTTTCTTCTTCCTTCCCTCCCTCCATTCCTCCTTTCCTCCTTCCCTCCCGCCTTCTCTCCTTTCTTCTTCTTCTCCCCCTCCCTCCTTCCTTCCTTCTACCCTCCCTCCCTCACTCCTTCCCTCCCTCCCTCCTTCTTCTTTCCTCCTTCCCTTCCTCCTTCCCTCCCTCCTCCTTCCTTCAGCACCTGCCACTTTCCAGCATCTGGTGTATACATCAAGGAGAAGAGTGGGTGCAGAGGGCCCAGGGATTGGCTCAGACAGTCTCAGCATACCCCCACTCCCCGTCACAAGCAACTGCGCATGGAGCTTCCTATTCTAACGGCCACAGGGTCAGCTGGGAAAGGGACAGGCCCTTTTGTCTGGGGTCAAGATCAGGCCAAGGGTTTGTGGCTGCTACAGCTCTGGCTCCCAACATCTCTGAATTTTCCTTAGAAATGCCAGGGCACAGGTCTCGAAGATGCCTGCAGGATTGGGGGAAACTGTGTAGGGTGAGGCTGATCTATTTGTCGAGAAGGGATTGCCTGGGTACTGGAGGGGGTTGTGGGCTGTCCTCTGTGGGCGACCCTTGCTGTCTTGGAAGTTGTTCCCTGGGCCAGGCTGCTGGGATTCCCAGCCCCGGGGGCCTGGCTCCCTGCCCAGAGTGATTTCCAGCTAAGACTCTGCCAGGAAGAAGAGTCCTTATCAGCCCTCAGGGTGAGGCAATTTGGATTGGTTGGGGCTGGTCAGGGAGGCCGTACTTCAAGCTTGAACCTCCAGTCCTGCCCTGGTGAGCTTGGGGAACTCTTTTCTCCTCTCTGAGTTTCAGCTTCTTCATCTGCAAAATGAGGGGTGGGGATGGGGAGGCCTTCAGCTCTGGAGAGCTCCTCACCCCAGTCCCTGGTGTTCAGGGGTTGAGTGGGACAGGTGGGCTTGCAGAGCGCCTTTACCCCAAACTCAAAAGTGGCCTTGAGTTCTCTGCCCCCAGTGTTGTGGGGACCCATCCCCTAGGGGTCCCAACTTAAGAGAAATGGCCCTTATCATCCCAGTCACAGATGAAGAAGGAGGCTCAGGGAGACAGTTATTGCATTCAAGCCTCCACAGCCAACAAGTCGGGCTTGTTGAGGTCTGACTTTCCCGGCGGGGTCCTGGGGCCTTCAATGGCAGTGTGTGACAGGTGTGGCGCTTGTCTCGTCTGGGCTGCCGCCCCTGCCAATGGTGATGGGGGCAGGTAGATGGGGGGAGGCAGGGAACGAGGATGCCAACCCAATGCTGAGGATCATCAGGCACGGGCCAGGGCTTGGACTCAGAGGGATGGGGGAATGGAAGGGGGTCTACAAGGATGGGGGAGGTGGTCCTCCCGTGGGCTCCGAAAGTGTAGGGCAGCAGGACCGGAAGTGTCCTCGTTCCTCTTCTGTTCTACTTGCTTCAGGTCCCCAGGGACCGAGTTGCCAACCCAGGAGTAGAGGGAGTGTCAGCTGAAGGTGGTATGTGGAGATGTGGATGAGTGTCTGGTTTTGGGGGCCTCCAGCCAGAGGCCACTATGTCTTCCCCCAGGCCCTGTCCAGTCAGGTTTGGGGTGGAGGGTAGCCAATAGCTTTATCTTTGCCTCTGTGACGGGTGGCCGGTGGTTTCCTGCCAACAGCTTCTGTTTCCGGAGGCTCAGCAAGGCCCAAGCAGAGCCAGGAGGGGCAGTGGGGCTGGGCCTGGGTGGCCCCACCAGCCCCGCCCCCGTCTATCTTTGGGAATTTATTTGTCCACGGGTGCGGCTGGCCCTCAGTCCATTGCCTTCCAGGGGCTAAGGCTGCTCTGACCACCCAAGGATTCTCTTTCCAGCCCAAATGCCTCCAACTGACCTCTGACTCCTGTCCCCTGGCCTCACCTGCCCTGCCCTGCTCTTCCTAAGGGACTGGGAGGCCCCAGAAGGTCTGCTGTAGACGTGGGTGTTGTCATCCAGCTCACCCTGAGAGGAGAGGCCGCGCAGGGGGCTTGGTTCTGAGCCCAGCTGCGCCCACCATGGCGCGGCGGCTCCAGGACGAGCTGGCTGCCTTCTTCTTTGAGTACGACACTCCCCGAATGGTGCTCGTGCGCAACAAGAAGGTGGGCGTTGTCTTCCGACTGATCCAGCTCGTGGTTCTGGTCTACGTCATTGGGTGAGTCCGGGTCCCCTACAGTCGCCTTCTTACACCAGCCCCCAAGCTGGGCCTGCCCTCCAGGATGGGAGATGCCCCTGTGACGCCAGGGAGCCCCTCTTTCACTCTATCCGTTGGAAGGCCTTCCTGACAAGCCACTGTGCAGAAATAGACAACCCTGCTAACTCACTGTTGAGATGGGGACACTGAGGCAGGAGGGGAAGCTGTGTCCTAGGTCCTATGGTGAATAAGAGGCAAAGCCGTGGGTTCTGAGGGACTGACTGAGTGTCCTTCAAATGGTGGGTGGCATTCCAAGCCGGGGCCTCACTAAGTCCTCTACCTCTGACCTCCTGCCAAGCCAGGCTATGCTGAGATAGAGACCACACCCCATTTTAGAGGCTAGAGAGGGACAGGCTCTGCCACCACCTTCCCTGACTAAGTTAGGGACATCCAGGGGTATTTGACTATCCTGGAGCTGAGAAACCCTCAAATTCTGAGCCCCTGGTGCCTTGATGACGGCCCGTCAGGCAGAGGAAGGAGATCAGTTCTGGTCCCAGGGATGACAGTTCCTTTCTGGGCATCTTTGGACCTGTCCTGTGGTGCTAGGAGTGCAGGGACAGAAGCAGGTTGGGACTCCTGCAGTCTAGCTGTCTGGGGACCACACAGACACATTTTTCCTGAAGTCAGTCTGGCTTTCCTGGGAGTCAAGAAAGGCTTGGCAGGAGCTTGCACCCATGTGAGTGTTCTTGTGTGGGCACGTGTGTGTCACATGGGTGCATGTGTCCTATCCAGAGCTTTGTACCCATGCACATGCCCTTGTGTGTCTGGGTGTGTGCCTGATAGGTGTGGCTGCTTGGTGTGTCCTTGGGGAGGGGTGCCCATATGCGTGTGTCCCTGTGTGTGAATATGGCTGTGTCTATGAATGCTTTGTACTTGATGAGGCTGGGTGCCTGATGTGTGTCCCCTGTGTGTGGTACATCATGTCCACTCACAGTGACTCTGCAGAGGTCTTCTGGAGGCCCCAGGGCCATTGAAGTTAGCTCAGTCCCTGCTGGGGGCCTGGGAGCCCTGGCAGCCCCAGCCGGACTGTGCTGTGTGATTCTGAAGGCTCTGCCCCTCTGGTTTCCACACCCCATTTTTTGCTATGGTTCCAACTTAGGACTGCTAAATAGAGCCCAGGGCAGGCTGACCAAGGACCAAACACAGAGTCTTGGTCCCCCAGAACGTCTGACATCCAGAAAAGCCCTCCCTCTGCCCCACCAGCCTCAGAAGCCTGAGCCGGCCGGGTGGAGCCAAGGCCAGGCCCCACTCTGGTCTCTGCCTCCTTCCTGTTCACAAACCATTTTGACATCTGTGATGTCATTTGTGGTTGGGAGGGAAACTGAGGCCCAGAGAGGAACAGAGGGGTTTCCAGGCCCACGGCAAGTCAGCAGCAAAGCAGGGTTAGAACAGAGAACTCCTGACCCCCAGCCTCTGCTCTGCTTTCTCCTTCTCCATCATTGCAAGATGGGGAATGCTTCCAATGGGCACAGATGGTGAATGCCACGTTAACTTCACTCCTGACCCTCCGGGGCAGAGAGAGGTCGCCCGCTCGGGCCAGCCTGCCCTGGTGCAGAGAACTGAGAGAATGGGATCTCGGCATCTCTGCCTCTGTCTCAGTAACTCTCTGGCCCCTATGGCTCCCTAGTTCTGCTTTCAGGTCAGCAGCTGTAAGCCGTGCCGGGGCCTTCTTGTATGCCAGTCATGGAGTGTCAGAGTGAAAGGGACAGTCCACCCACCCCCCCAGCTCAGCATACCTCCAGTGTCGGGGATCTCACTCCCTCCCTCCCTCCTTCCCTTCTTCCCTTAAGACTATGCAATCATTTCTGAATGGACGTGGCCCTGTTCAGCATCAACGGGACTTGGTAATGTCACCAGGATCTCACAGCTAGTAAGAGGTTAACTAGGATTTTAACCCAACTGCCTGACTCCAGGCCTTCGTATCCTGAAAAGAAAACATCCTTAGAGAGGGACTCTTACCTGCCCAAATCACACAGCAGAGGCTGGAAGGCAGGGTCTCTCAACACTACCACACCCAAGCTGTGCCAAAAACCCCAGGCTTTCAGCTCCTGTGTAGGCTGCCGCTCCGACTGTCTCTGGCGCCCTCGTCTGGCCACTGTCCAGTTCTGCACCGATCCCTCCGCTAGGAGCTCCCAGTTGCCGTCCGAAGCCCTGACCCAACCTGGGTTTGGTGTTGGCATCTCAGGCTTCAGTTTCCCAACTGTTTCCTGGGGCAGGGGTTGGTGAGGAACCCTCTAAAGACATTGCATTCGGTTCATCAGTTTTCTCTTTCCTGAGGACGACTTTGTTTTGGTTTTTTTTTGAGTTGGCGTCTCTGTCACACAGACTGGAGTGCAGTGGCTGTTCCCGGCCACTGTAGCCTTGACCTGTTGGGCTCTGGCGATCCTTCCGCCTCAACCTTCCAAGTAGCTGGAACTACAGGCGCGTGCTACCACACCGGGCTAATTTTTATTTTATTTTATTTTATTTTATTTATTGTAGAGATGAGGTCTCGCCAAGTTGCCCAGGCGGATCTTGAACCTGCAGACTCAGGCAATCCACTCACCTCGACCTCCCAAAGTGCTGGAATTACAGGCTGAGCCACCGAGCCCGGCCAAGGACTTTGTTTTAATGTCTAGTCCTGTGATGGTTGCAGGGGAACAGAGCCAGATCCTGGACCCCAAAGACAGAACAAAGCCCGGTGGGGGATGGGTAGACACAGAGATAGAACAGGACAGAGGGACAAACACTGGAGCACAATAACTCAGACAAAGGAAGAGATGTCCTGAGACCTAGAGATGGAGAGAGAGTTACTGAGACAGAGGCAGAGATGCCGAGAACCCAAACACCCTGAGGGAGGAAACTGAGGCTGTGGTCTCTACTGGTCATGCTCTTCTGGGAAGTCCTGGGGAAGCACAGGGAGTGAAGGCTTGAGACTCTAGAAGGCTGAACTAAGATGACCTTCTTTTGGTTCCAAATAAGATGGCCTCGCAGAACTGTCTCCCAGGAGGTGATGAGTTCTCTGTCCCTGAAGGTGTGGGGACAGTGTGCTGTCATCCATGAGCCAGCAGGGCTGGGACATGTTGCTGCCTGGGGGGCTCTGGGTGGGAGAGGAGAGGGGTGGTCTGCTGCAACACACAGCAGGGTCAAGGGGATTTGTGAATGATGCTTGAGGAGGGGGCCTGGGAAGCCCTCCCGAAGGAGGTGACATGGTGGTGGAACCAGCCGTGAGTAAAGGCCTTGGGGGCCATTGGCTGGGCCAGTCTGCTCTTGGCTTTCTCTCTAGCCCCTCTGGGTCTCTTCTCACCTCAGCCCTCACTCTATCCCCTGCACCTCCATGCAGAGCTGTTGAAATCACATGTTCTGAGACCTCCAAGTGGATCCCAGAGCACATCAATCAGGGATAATGATAGATACAAATTATTGCTGTGAGAAGTGCATTTGGGCCCATTTCTGCAGCATCCTCTCTGTGCCTGATGCTATGCCAGGGAACAGAGGTGGCACACAGGGTGGGCAGAGGAGGAGGGAGGAACTGAAGATGAATTAGCCAGAACACCTTTGGTTCTCGTGACAGAAGCTCCAATAAACTGGATTTAAAAGGAAAGGTAGGAGTATTAATTGGTTTATGTAACTGAAAAATCAATGTGGGCATCTTGCCTGGCCAGATCCTTTAGAACGGGGCACAGGAGGAGCTAGGTCTGTGGGGAGATGAGGAATTCAGGTCGGCCCAGTCTTGGTTCTCCAACCGAGCTATCCAGGATCCAGCTCCTCTTCTCGCTCTGTTTTTCTCTGTATGTGGAGGTTGCATTCTCAGGCAGGCACTCTGTCTTCATAAGTGGCAAAACAGCCACCAGCAGCTCCAAGCTGACATCTCACCAGCTTGGCCACCTTCCAGAACACAAGAACTGCTCCTTCTCTGGAGTTCCAGCCAGAGTCCCAGGTCCAATTCTTGTGGGTTGAGGGTGGGTCATGTGCCATCGCTGTGGCCAAGGAAAGGAAATGCCCTGATTGGAGGAGCCTGGTTATGTGCCCACCCCTCATCCAGGCCCTCCTGTGGGGCAGCAGCTTGTGAACAAAGGTCCTGGGGCAGGGGAGTAATAGAAAAAGAGTCACTAGGACTGGGTGAAAGGATGTGGAGAGGTGAGGGGACCACTGGCTGAGGCCTTTGAGCGCTGCCTGATGAGCCTAGTGTTTCTCCTGAAAGGTGGGGAGCCATGGAAAGATGCCTCGCAAGGGAGGGACTGGGGCAGACAGGGATGGGGTGCAGGCCGGAAGCAGGACAGCTGTGAAGAGGCAGTAGTGCTGGGAAGAGAGGCTGAGGCTGTACCCAAGGCAGAGGCAGTGAGCATGGAGGACGGATGTCATCATCCTGGCAGGTCCCACAGCTGGGGTGGCCGCTGCTCAGCTTCTGTGCAGCATTGCCAAAGGGGACATGCACCCAGCATGACCACTGTTTCTGACTTCTGCAGAGAAGTGGGAAATTGGAATTTACATATGAAGGAAACCTCTTGGTTTTTATAGGTTGGTGACTCATTCAAAAACCTCAAAAATACAAATCGTTGGCCTGAGACTTAATTCCATATGTTCATTTAGTCATTCAATAAACATGTGTTTATCGAATGCCTATTAAGTACCAAGCACTGTTCTAGACACTAAAAATATAGAAGTGAACAAAACAAACCAAAATCTTGCACTTGGCTGGGTGCAGTGGCTCATGCCTGTAATCCAGCATTTTGGGAGACGGAGGTGAGAGGATTGCTTGAGCCCAGGAGTTTGAAACCAGCCTGGGCAACATAGCATGATTTGAAATCAGCCTGGGCAACATAGCATGATCTCATCTCTACAAAAATAAAAAAAAATTACCCAGGCGTGGTAGCACACACTGTAGTCCCAAGTACTTGGAAAGCTGAGGCTGAAGGATTGCCTGAGCCCAGGAGGTTGAGACTGTGATTGTGCCACTGCATTCCAGCCTGGACAACAGA